AGAGTGCAGACGCAGAACAGGAAAGTCCGAGCCGAAGCTCCTCCTGAGCTGGAGACGAGCTGCGCGGATCCAGTCGATCAACACCTCAGTGACATCACCCTTGCTGCGCAAGGGGAAGACTGTGGTGTAACGCGAGTAGTCGTCAACCACCAGCAGGAAGTAGCGCTCGTGACCCTGCCCACGGACGCGGGCCGGGCCCCACACGTCCATGTGAAGCGTCTGCAGAGGAGCCTCTGTCGGGGGAAACTGGGAGGAGTGAGGGGCAGCCCGGAGCCGCCCCTCGACACAGGGGACACAGGAAGGTCCGGGTCCCGAAGGAAGGGGAGGGAGAGACCGGGGAAGACCAGAGACAAGGACACGGGAAGCCATGCCCCGAAGACGAGGCAAGGAGGGGTGGCCAAGACGGTGGTGCCACAGGAGAGTCTCCTGAGACAGGCGGCGACACGAGCAGGGGGCAGACTCAGGACCAGACCTGGACGCAGCAGCAAACACCTGACCCGACGCAGCTACCTGGCCAGACGCAGGGACAGGAGGAGACTCAGTGGTCAAGGTGTAGAGACTCGACCCCGGCCGACGCGAAAACGTGGCCAGGTGTCGGCCTGTGCGGGCGTCCGAGCAGTGGGTCACCCGCTGACTCGCAGGAGTAAACTGGTGAACCCCCGCATCCTGCAGGTCAGCACCACTCACCAAGTTCGTCGAGAACGAGGGGAGGTACAGACCAGACAAGGTGCCCGAGGGGGCAGCCGGACACGGGAGGACAGTGGAGAAGTGAGAGAGGACAGGACCCCCAGAGGGGTCAGCCAGGGAGACTGCAACCGGCCGGCCAAGCGGCGTGAGTGTGGTGCGGTCTCGAAAGAAGGAGCGAGAAGCCCCTGAGTCAAGCGTGAAGGTGAGGGAGGCCGAAGCCGACGCAGTACCTGAGAGCGCAGCCTCACCAGTACCTGAGAGTGCAGACGCACTGGCACCTAGAGCAGCAGCCGCAGAAGTACCTAGCGCAGCAGTACCAATGCCCGGGTCGGGCGGGAAACACCGGTAACAGTCACCCTCCTCACTAATAGTCACAGCATACATGGCAGCAAGGATAGCATCAAAGTCAAGATCAAAGATAGCTACGCCGGCCCTAGACAGCTCTCCCCAACGGGGAATCTCACTAGCCTCGGGGAACTGCTGACGCCAAGCGTCCGTCAGGCGGCCAAAGCAGCGCTGGGTGGGGTGGGCACCCCCACACTGCTCACCCGCGCGGTCGCCGGAACGAAGGACGTAGGTGCACGGACCAAAACCCCCACCCCGCTGACGCTGCGTGTACCACTCACGGAGCTGCTGGGGCGGGGGGATGTCCCGCGAACGCTGCTGCTGCTGCTGCTGCTGCTGACGCTGGCCACCACCAGAGCCGCTACGCTGCGGGGCACCACCCCGACCAGCTCCACCCCCTCCGCCACCGCCGCCTCCACCTCCACCACCACCGCTGCCTCCGCTCCCACCGCTGCCGCCACCACCGCCTCCTCCTCCGCTGCTGGCACCGCCACCACCGCCCCCGCCACCACTCCCACCGCCACTCCCACTCCCTCCGCCGCCTCCACCGCCACCTCCACCGCCCCCGCCAGTTCCACCCGCGCCCTTGCCCCCCTTGCCCCTGCCAGGGCGGCGTCTCCCGCTAGGGGCAGACGCCGCGCAGACCGACTCAAGACCAAGCAGGTCGGCAGCAGCGGCAGAGGCAACAGAGAGCAGCAGGGGGGAAGGAGAACACCCCTCAAAGATGGGGGTGCGAGGGTCACCACGAGAGGCTCCTACAGCGACGATGCTCTTCTCCGCCGCCAGGAGGGACTTCTCGAGGAGGTCGACAGTGAGAGTGGTGGGACAGACTGAGAGGAAGTGGTCCCTGACTACGTGAAGGGAGTCAGGGAGGCGTGTGACTATGTAATAGAGAGTGATGTACATGGGGGGGGGGTTCTTGGCGCAGAACTCAGCAGGAAGGGCTGCGCGGTAGCGAGTGTCACTAGTGCGGAGGTGCGTAATGAGGTCAGCGACAGTGGGAAAGGCAGCAAGGTCAGGAAAGAGGTACGGTAGCATGAGGCGGCTCAGGGCAGCAGTGGCAGGGGAAGAGTAGCGCGCAACTACAGCGTCGTACAAGGTCTGAGCACTCTTGTACTGTCTAAAGTGCGCGCGCTCAGTGGTAGGCAGGTGGCGACGCACAGCAAGACGTGCAGCAGCATCGCGGGTGGCCCACTGAGAGCGAACAGTGGGGTCAGCATCAGCAGCAGGGGCAGGAGAGGCGCCAGAGGTGAGGTCAAAGAGGGAAAGACCGTCCGCCCTATCGCACTGTAAGAACAGCTGCAGGTCGTCGACCCAGACCTCAAAGTCAATGGCTCGACCCTCAGCGTCAAAAGCGAGGACACTAGGGGTAGCCATGACGACGACAGTGTAGTAGTGCAAGCAGTAGGGGAAGGGCACGCAGTAACAGTGGTGCTGTGCTCACCAGGCAGGGCAGGTCGGGCGGCTCGGCAGTAGGGCGGCCCGGCGACTGGGCGGCTCGGTGGCTCGGCTGCTGGGCGGCTCGGCTCCCGGGCGGCTCGGCGGCAGGGCGGCTCGGCGGCAGGGCGGCTCGGCGGCAGGGCGGCTCGGCGGCTCGGCTCCCGGGCGGCTCGGCGGCAGGGCGGCTCGGCAGCAGGGCGGCTCGGCTGCACGGCGGCTCGGTTGTTGGGCGGCCGGGCGGCTCGGCTGCGGCGCGGCTCGGCGGCGGGGCGGCTCGGCTGCTCTGCTGCTGGGCGGCTCGGCTGCGCTGCTGTTGGGCGGCTCGGCTGGGCCGCTGACGTAGTGAGGCGGCGGGGCCGCGAAGACGGGCGGCGGGGCCGCTGCAGAGAAGCGGCGGGGCTGCAGTGAAGGGCGGCGGGGCCGCAACGAGAGAGGCGGCGGGGCCGCAGCGAGAGAGGCGGCGGGGCCGCAGCGAGAGAAGCGGCGGGGCCGCGAAGTCGGGCGGCGGGGCCGCTGAGTAGGGCGGCGGGGTCGCAGTGAGAGGCGGCGGGGCCGCAGCGAGAGAGGCGGCGGGGCCGCGAAGACGGGCGGCGGGGCCGCAGTGAGTGGCGGCGGGGCCGCAGTGAGAGATGGCGGCGGGGCCGCGTAGACGGGCGGCGGGGCCGCAACGAGAGAGGCGGCGGGGCCGCAGGTAAGGGGCGGCGCGAAGCCGCCGGTGAGGGCGGCGCAAAGCCGCGGGTAAGGGCGGCGACGGGCCGGGAAAAGGGGCGGCGCGCCGCAGCCGCTATGGCGGCTCGACGCGACCGTAAGGGCGGCGCGACGGGCCGCTAGGTGCGACTCGACGGGCCGCTAAAAAAAAGGCAGGCGCGACTCGAGGCGCGCTTCGGTGGGCCCAAGGAACAGTCCCTAGGAGGGGACCTGCTCTGATTCCATGGGAAAATGAGAACGAGAATGAATGAACTATGAATGAAGTGAGTACATATAGGAAACCCTAATTGAGTTGTACCCCCTATGGGATACCCCACTATGGCCTACACAACAGCATAAGCTATATATATATGTTCTGACAGCTTGTGCTCGGAATGTGTGGTGACTTCGTGATCCACCCAGAGCTTGCTTTGCTTTTCTTGACTGGTCTTGTGACCACTTGTTCTCCCCCACTTTGCCTATCGGGGTGTCTCAAAACTGTTTTAGTACTTAATTTGTGTAGGCTATAGTGGGGTAGCCCATAAGGGGTACAACCCAACTTGGGTTAGTACTTGTATCCAACTTCTGTTAAATGCATTCATTCTCGTTCTATAGTTCAACATCAGGATATCTGCCAAACAAGCTCTCCTGCTCATGATCCTTCCAGCATCTCATGACGCATTCTTCAGCAGATAATGCTATTAGCCAGTGATGCCAACTCTATTGGCTCGTTATGCTTTCAATCCTACAGTAATCGACAACAACCGGATCATCCTGAATTATATCAATTCTCTCATGAAAGATTGTGATCCGACAAAATCTGTTGTGCTACAATGAAAACAAGAAATTGATCAGAATACTAGTGTGAATCTAAACAGTTGCAAGGTTTCAAGTTCATATGAATCTTACATTTGCGTTACGGTTAACAAATTTGCAAATATCGAATCACTAGTTTAACCCGACATTCTCGATGGGCTGGTTTGAGATGCCAGACCGAACCCTAGTTCCTCGGGGTTTGCAAGAAGCATGCGTGCGAGGCGCGTTTCCTGACAGCGCAATGCCTTCACTCACCTTGCGACGCATTACAGGCTCCGTCTCAGTCGCATTTGCCCCCCACCGCTATGCGGCGACAGTTCCACTCTATTACCAATGACGGAACAGAATCATTGATTGAGAAGCCTTGGTTTTGTCTCACGACAGCAAGTCCGTCAAGTTCTCCCATCATCCAATCAACACACCAGTAGATCCCTTCTTTTCGTGGACGAGCCTCTTCATGTTTCTTGGGTAGCAAGCGAGCTTAACGGAAAATGCGACCCGTATATTTTTGGGCAGCTGCAGTTAAGCCTGCTGCCCAGAAACTCCGTGAATGTAGATTAACGAGCCGCAATACTGTCAACCGACAGCGCCAGGCTTCCTGGTTTGGCTTGGGACCGAAGACTCGGCCTTCTCCTATTAACTAACCAGTTGCCGAGCTTCGAGGTTTGGTCTGGAGAGCGGACTCGGCCTCCCCCTACAGAGCAGAGCCGCAGCACTTTTTGTGGTGTTTTTTTTGTCTTTCTTCTCGATTCAGGCAGCTGGTTTTCTTCCTCCACACCACAGCCTAGAGAGTTGCTTCTCTCCATAGTCGAGTTCCATCCACTCTTCCCTCCGCGTTGGAACCTCCTCCCTTCCCAAAACACTACAAAGCCCACCCGTCCTCTTCATCCCCACCACCACAGCAGTTGCAATTCCTTTTTCCTTCAACTCTCAGATTCAGCTACTAGCTCCTCGAAACTTAGATCAGCTTCAGCTCCTAGCTTCGCCTCTCGTTCCGCCTGTGCTCTTGGCCTCTCAATCCTGCGATGGCTTCTCGGATCACCCCGTCTCCCGTTGGATCTACTGCGGTTTGCGGCATCAGCAGCAGCTTCAGCAGCACGCGCCGCGGCGCTAACGTCTTGAAGATATGGCGGCGCGCGATTGCATGGCGCGTGGGGCGCTTCAACGAGAAAGAGCAGTGCGCTCTGTGCTCCCCCCGTGCGTCGCTCGGCTTCTCCCCTCTGCGAACCAATCCCGTGGCTAAGCCGCCCAGCAAGAAGCCCAGGCCCAGGAAAGTGATGGGTACCGCTGCTGCTGTGAAGCCCAGAGCGGTGCAGAGCGGTCAAGCGACCGTCGCAACTGCAGCAGCCAAAGCCACGCCCGCCAAGGCGACGCCAGCTAAGGTGACGCCAGCTAAGGTGACACCGGCTAAGGTGACGCCGGCTAAGGTGACGACAGCTAAGGTGACGCCAGCTAAGGTGACGCCTGCTAAGGTGATGACAGATAAGGTGGCCCCATCCAAGGCGACGCCAGCCAAGGCAACGCCAGTTAAGGCAACGCCAGTTAAGGCGACGCCGCCAGCTAAGGTGATGCCAGCGACACCAGCTAAGGCGACACGTGCAAGCCCTACTACCGCGGTAGGTGTGAAGGCTGCAGGTGCAAGCAGCCCAGCAGCAGCAGCTCCTCTCACCATGAAAGCGGGTCTTGCTGGCGGGTCTGGAATCCCCAGACCTGCAAGCAGTGCTTCAACAAGGAGGGTTGCAGCAGGAGCGACGACAAGTGGCATTCCCAAGCCAGGGAAGGTAGCACCCAAGTGAAGGTGTAAAAAAAAAAAAAAAAAAAAAGCAGCAGCAGTATTCGATCCAGGTCGTGTTGAATGGGGATGTGAAGGGACGAGTGTGGGGTTTGAGATGGCATGGCTGGTGGGGGCTAGAGGGAGGTGCATGGAGGGACTTAACCCTTTTTCCACCCTGCTTGCAGGGTGTTGTGGGAGAGATGGTAGGAGAGGTGGAGGAATGTGGTGAGCTGGAATGGGGAGGCATGACATGAGGGGGAATGGCATGCCCTTGGATCTGAATGCTTGTGCTGGCTGTGTGCTTCTAGTGGAATGCTCATGCTGACTGTGCCATCTGTTGCTGCACCGTGCACCTGCTTGGCTCATGATTAGTAGGAAGTTCTAGATAATCATAAATTATGTTCTAGGTCTATTGCTTGTACTTGTTGATGCGTTACTTATATATATGCTGTTGATGTGCATTCAGTGTTCATTTGTTGTGTCTGGTTGGTGCATGGAAGGGGGTGTATTTGTGTGGTATATTTGATGATGCTGGCACTGGTTGTCTGATTCAAGGAGAATGCTCATGCTGCTTTTGTCAGCTGTAGTAGTTCTCTTGTCATGACATCATGCCATGTTCTCATTCAAAGCAGCCTAGAGACATGGTCATGACTTCACCCCATTTTGACCCTTTTCCTCCCCTCAGCATCCCCTGCTCTTTCCCTGTGCTGGGAATGATTTCAACATGTTTCCTCTGCGGTTCTTACCAAGTTCATGGTTGGGGGTTCCAAGGATTCTACACACAGTCACCACTTCCACCATCCCTTCCCGGCGTCGCTTGTCCCTCAACATTTCCACCACCCATCCCACTCCATTCCATCACAACCTATCCCATGCCATCCCATCCCATCCCATCCCATCCCATCCCATCCCATCCCAACCCATCGCATCCCATCCCATCCCATCCCATCTCATCGCCTCCCTCCACAATTCAGATATTTGAGACTGAACGGTAATTTTGCATCAACCAGCTCAGGGCTTGATTATTATCATCTGCTGCTTGGTGGGTATTACATTTCAGTTAGATTGCCTGATTCATCGACTCATATTGCCTTCCCCGATTCATTCCGTTTGATCATAATCACTCGTTCAAACTCTCATACCATTCACATCAGCTCACGATTCTTTTCTCTCTAGAGGTTCCAATGTTTTCACATTAGCTTAAGCCGCTGTTGCTGTATCTTTCTGTGCTTGCTTTTCTTTTAGCATATGATGCTGCATCAGCTCCTAAGTCTTTCGCGATTTCATGCCAATCCATGATCAGACCATGTCATTATGTTAAGATTCTCATGCGACTCTTCTCAGCTCATTAATCCGTAACCCTGTCTGTCATGTTGTTTTAACTAGTTCATCCTCCGCCCCTTAGCTCATGAGCCTCATGCCTGTAAAAATCTAGAACGAGAATGAATGCATTGAAGAGAAGTTGGGTACAAGTATTAACCCTAATTGGGTTGTACCCCTTATGGGCAATGTAAGCCCTATATAAGCTCTACACAATGTAAGCTCTATATAAGTTTGACACACCCCCATAGGCAAAGTGGGGGAGAACAAGTGGTCACAAGACCAGTCAAGAAAAGCAAATCAAGCTCAGGGTGGATCACGAAGTCACCACACATTCCGAGCACAAGCAAATGGCCACAAGGCCAGTTAACATGCAGAGTTATATAAAAGAGAACAAACAGTATAGTGATCATACCCTAACAAGAGTAAGCATGCATGTATATACATAACTCACAATACAAGCAAAGTCACGCAGGCAAAGTAGGCACAAGGCCTAAAACGGTACTGAAACGCTGATGATCACCAGATTGAAGTGCCTTAATGAATATATCAGCAGTGTTGGCCCTAGTGGCCACGTAAGCAAGACAAAGCTGACCACGCTGCTACAACTCTCGAGCAAGGAAGTAACGCATAGCGATGTGCTTCGTTATGTGCTCCAGTCTGTGCTCCTGACACAAGGCAATCATGGCCTTGTTTTCTACGTACAGAAATGGAGAAGAACTAGGCCGCTCTCCCAAGTCGGTCAGTAGGTAGGTGAGCCAGCGTAACTCCTGTGCAGCCATGGCCCCTGCGTAGATCTCAGTCTCACAACTGGAACTGAGAACAGAAGACGAGCGGGTAGACCGCCAAGAAACAAAGCTGGAGCCAAAGCTGAAAATGTAACCCTGTGACGACTGCTGCGTAGCCAAGTCGTCAACCCAAGAAGCGTTTGCGTGGCCAGGTTGGACAACTGGACCCCGTCCTCCAAGCACGAGCCCCATGCCCGACGTACTGCACAAGTTGCGCAACACCCTCTTAGCAGCCTCCCAGTGCTCTGGTCGGTGTCTCCCGGGCGCAATGTAGCGAGCCAGGATGCTAAGAGGGTAGGCAAGGTCAGATCGAGTGCAGGTCATCGGGAACATGAGGCAGCCCACAAGCTCTGGATACGGGCCACTCGGCTCTACGGACTCGTCCGAAGGAGGAGCTCAGAGCTAGTGACCGGTAGGCAGAGGAGTGGATTGTGGCGAGGAGTACCGGAAGCCGAAGTGCTGAAGGACCTGGTGCACCATGTGTGACTGAGTAAAGGTAATGGTGCGCGGTGCTCTGTCCCAAGTGATCTGCAAGCCAAGATAGCTACGCAGCTCACCCACGTGAGTGCAGGTGTGTCTCTTCAGCAGCTCCGACTTCACAAGAGCCAGTGCCTCAGTGTCAGCAGTGTCAAAGACCAAGTCGTCGACGTACACGATAACGTAGAACGGCGGCAGCGAAGTGTCGGTGCGTTGAAACAACGACGGGTCAGCAGTCGAAGAAGCAAACCCCAGAGCTGCAAGCGGTAGTCCTCAGTGTGTCGTGCCACTCGCGGGGCGCCTGGCGGAGACCGTAGACTGGCCGCCGGAGGCTCCACTGGGTACGTGCAGGAAACGACCCAGTGAAGCCAGGTGGGCGGCGCAGCCAGATCTCCTCGTGCAGGCTGCCCTGCAAGAAAGCTGTGCTGAAGTCAAGGGAGTGCAGCTCGTAGTTACGCTGGGCTGCGACGTGCAGCAACACCCAAAGAGTGGTCATCTTTGGGGTAGGGGAGAAGGTCTGGAAGGAGTCAACTCCCTGTCGCTGACTGAAGCCTCGAGCAACGTAACGAGCCTTGAAGACAGGCGGAGAACCCGGCGGTCGCTTCACTCTGAAAATCCACACACCATCGACTAAGTTCGCCCCAGAAGGAGGAACTGCGTCGACGTAGGTGCCTGTGGCCTTCCATGATGTCATCTCTACGTCCATGGCTGTCTGCGACTGAGAGGAGTAGGGACCCGTAATCGCCTCTGCGTAAGTACGCGGGGGTCGGGATGTCTGGTGCATCCGGGTCTCCCTCAGGGGCAAGCATCATGGCCACGAGATGAGGTACAATGGTTGCAAGACACTCAAAGTCCTCCTGCCTGTCCTCAAGGACGTCCGTGCTAAGAGCACACTCACCCCCGACGGACAGAGGACAGTCAGACTCCGACTCAGCAACAATACTAGTGGCGTAGTCGAGACGACAGGCAGTAGCAAAGTCAACAAGCTCAGCAACTAAGGCAGACGCAGCAGTGGACTCAAAATAAGGGCCGCTGACAACAGTGGCGAGGAGACGAGAGACAGCAGGACTGGCAGCACGAGCTAGGTCAGACTCAGGGTCAGGAACGGCAGGAAGAGAGGACTCGGGAGGAGGCGGCAGAGGAACTCGCAGTGGAACAGAGGAAGGACGAAGTGCCAGAACGTGGGTGCCAGGGACTGGAAGAGGACGCGGACGAGGAACCCAACGATTGGTGTGAACAGCGCAAATAGGCGAGGCAGGACGAGACTCAGGCTCACGACGCTCTGTAAAAGAGTCTGTCTGCTCAGCGTAGGGAGAAGGAGCCGGCAGTGGGGAGTTTGGCTATAATTGTGGCAGTGACTGGCGAGGTAGTGGACTCAGAAAGCTAGAAGGAAGTCTAGTAGAAGATGGGAGACTAAGAACCTGGCGAAGGACCGAGTCAGGTGGCGGAAAAGACAACGGATGCGGCAGAACAAAAAACGGGCGCCGCAGCACAGTGCCTCCAGCACCAGTACCGCAAGACATAGCACCCCCAGCGCCAGCACCTCCAGCTGCAGGGTCAACAGCTCCAGTGTCTCCAGCTCTAGCTCCTCCAGCTCCAGCGCCGCTTGCGCCAGTGCCTCCTGCTCCAGCGCCTCCAGCTCCAGTGCCTCCAGCCCCAGCGCCTCTTGCGCCAGGGTCTCCAGCTCTAGCTCCTCCAGCTCCAGCGCCTCCAGCTCCAGTGCCTCCAACCCTAGCGCCTCCAGCGCCAGAATCTCCAGCTTTAGCTCCTCCACCTTCAGCACCCCCAACACCACCAGTCCCGGCAGCTCAAGTACCCCTAGTACGAGCACCTCCAGGACCAGCAGCTCCAGCACCTCCGGTACCACCAGCTCCAGCAGGAACTCCAGCACCTCCAAGATGAGTAGCTCCAACACCTCCAGCTCCAGTGTCTCCAGCGGCAGTGCCTCTAGCTCCGGCAGCTCCACTCCGAAGGCATGTGCGCTAAGCAAACCACTCGCGCAGCTGCTGCGGGGAGAGAGGCTCCGGCCGGGGAGACAGTCGTGGCAAGGCACCCGCGCGACCTCCAGAAGAAGCAATACGCCAAGGCTCAGCACCCCTAGACTCCGCACCCTCAGACTCAGCACCAACAGGCTCTGCACCCTCAGAATCAGCACCCCCAGGCTCCGCACTCGCAGGCTCAGCACCCCAAGGCTCCGCACCCCCAGGCTCAGCACCCCCAGACCGCGCACCCTCAGGCTCCGCACCCCCAGGCTCAGCACCCCCAGGCTCCGCACGCGCAGGCTCAGCACCCCCAGACGCAGCACCCCCAGATCCAGCACCTCCAGACGCAGCACCTCGAGCAGCACCTGAGTCTACAGCGACCTCAACAGGCACAGCCCCGGGGAGTGGGTCTACCTGAGACACACCTGAGGGAGCAGGACACTGAGGGGGGAGGGGGTCTACCGGAGGGGGGCCTGGAGCAAGGAAGAGCGGCGGGGGTGGGAGAGGGGCAGAGCCGTAGGGGAACAGATGGTAAAAGGGAACCGACTCGTCAAACGTGACGTCTTGAGAGAGAAAGACACGGCGGGAGGTGGGGTGGTAAAACTGTCAGCCAAGCGCGTCAGGGGGAAAGCCAAGGAAGACGCAGGGAATAGTGCGGGTGAAGAGCTTGTTCACGGACGTATCGCC